GGCTAAATCCTTTTGCAGACATATTTTCCAAATCCATCAAATACTTGCAAAATGTGTTAAAAAAAAATCGATTTTTCCGATCCGCTAGACTAGAGTAAATTAATGGACTGTGGATTTGTATTTAGCGACCCCCAAAACCTTAATTTACGGAAATAAAAAAATTTTCTAGCCCCTATAGTGCTTCAGTAATTAAAGTTTATTTCAGAAATTTTTTACGACAGCTTTAAGAACACTGCCATGGTCGTCATTTTGAAGTTTTCAAAAACGCCATATGACATTCGATTCTACATAAAATAAGCTAAATTTTTAGTACTTATATTTAAAAAGAATCAAACCATTTTAGGGGCAGAATCATTTGCGTTTTTGTATGGAATGACCCATATATGTATATATATATATATATATATATATATATATATATGTATATATGGACATCTTCCTTTGTTATTACAATAATGTACTTCATCACTGCTAATATTAGTTCTACAAACTGGCTCTATTACAACTACAACGATATTGTTTCCATGGCAGTATGTGATGCTAACTCCATGTTTACATTTATTGTTATTATATAGCCTATAGTAGACGTAGTAAATTTTCAAAGAATGCAAATTTAGTATAAAATTTGATGATATAAACAAATGCTTATTAATTATAATCATACCTAGTCGATCCTAGTTTCCAAGACATGACTAATATGGCTTTGATGACAATGTCTACTGGTACCAAATTTTGATTAACATTTATATTACAACAGGCTACTCGTATTAATCCTTGTCCACAACCTACGAAAAGTCCTATTGGACCGTAAACATTATCTAACCATCCTAGTATTGGTTCTTTCAGCGTAGATGACACTATAATATATTGGTTAGACTATCGTTAGATATTATTACTTATTATTTCTAGTAATATTATCAAGTTATTTCTTATATTTATTCATTATCAATTAAAATGAGAAAAATTGTAAAACTTTATAAACATATCTTTTAATATGTTCTTTAATGTCTATAATTAATTTATTTTTTCGTAAAAAGCCATGTTATTTTATTTAAGTAAAAACTGCCTAAAAGATATATGCAACCAGCATATAGAAAATACGTTTATTTAGAGAGAAGAAGAGGATCATCGAATGTTATCGAAACCTATGTTATGTAAATAAACGAAAAGGGAAAGAAGGTTGAAGAAAACGCAAACGTTCGATTTATTGTGCCACTGTAATGTTCATTCAAATTACCGCGCGATTGAATAGATTCTAAACAGTCATAATATTTTTGTTATTGACGTTCTTTTTTATCATTAGCGCTCTCTTAGCTTTCTCTCCATTAGCGCTCTTACAATAATTAGTTTTTTTATCAATAGAGTCAAGGCCTAATTAGCACAAAAAAACATAAATAGTAAAATTTAAGTAGTAAGGAAATCAAGATTGTAGATTGGCTATTGATTATTGCCTTACATTCTCGACTACAATTAATTGATTTAATAAAAAAATGTGAAAGACAGGGGGAAGGGATTTTATTTTATATGTTTATTTTAAGGGGAATCATTTCTGTTACCAAGTGTCACAAAGAGAGAGTTAAAAATTCATGATTTTAGGGAACGTATTTTTTGAAAGGCCCCTATTTAACTTAATTATATTACATAGATAAATAAAAGTATATATGTTAAATATATTAAAAGTTAGTATACATATACATACAGAGTGTCCAGTACTCAATGGTAAAGCGCTTGTGGGCAAGTAGAGTGAGTTAAACTGAATCAAAAAATCCTGTAGCCATTTTGCAATTTTCGCAATAGTTATTGAGATATTAATTTATAAAGATCGCAAAATGGTAGAAAACTTTTCTACTCAGTTTAGCCCACTTTATTTGCCCACGAGCCTTTTACCATTGAGTACCGGACACTCTGTATAGTTAATAATTATGTACACTGCTCAAAAAATTATAACATAGAAAAATTTTTGACAAAAATGAACCAAATTTGGCTGACGATAACTCCGCGAAAAATCACCGTAGGATGATGAACTTTTTTTTAATTAAAGCTTCCAATATCTACTTTAAGGTGCTATAGCTCGATTTTAAATTTAATGCATCCCTCTGGTACTGTAAACTTTTTAAATCTGAAAGCATGTTTGCCATAATGAAAATTGCAAAGTTTGACGGAATGCACGAACGTACTACAATTTTTCTCGTTTGCAACCTTATAAAACTCGAACCTCTCTCTTTAATTAAAAAAAAAGCAAAGCAAGTCGCTACAATTTTTTTTCACTAAGCCACAGAGTTTTAAAGTAATCTTTGTATTTTTCTTATGTACGGTCGGCATTACCCGACGTGCATCATGAGGAGGTTGGCGATCGAATTTGGCACGTAGTGTGTGTGCGCGCGTATGTAAAACACATATTCATTTTTTTAGCAGTGTATATAAATTATTATAGAATATATATACATATGTCCTTTTTTCTAATTACTTTTAGTGCCTTTATTGCTTTTATAAAAAATTATATTTTTTCAATTATTTAATTTTATTATAAAATAAAACAATAAAAGTATATAAATATTTGATACACAGCAATAAAGATACACAAATTATCGCATTAAAATAAAAACTTATATCTAATAATTAGAAGAAATGTTACGTACCTACAGAAGGTCTTATAATCGCGCAATGCAAAGAGGAAGAATATTCCTGTATTATACTTTCCGCTAAAATTTTTGAAAAAATATATGTGTTGGGTGCATAATCTAAACATCTGTAAATAATTTCAAGTGCATACAGAATTAAAAATTTGAATATTATTATATAAAAGCGTACATAGCGCATGACGTAAATAAAGTAAAAAAATTATCCTAGTATATTTATCTATACAAATTTTTTAACACATTACATATTCGATTTTTGGTTACTTACTTAGCCGTAAAAACGTTTAAGGTATGCTCATCTAATAATTCGGCCATTTCAATCATTTTCTGCCAATCAGCTACTGGTGGATAAATTTTTTCTTCTACAAAAGATTCATTCACAGGTACGAATGCTGTACTAACATGCACTAGTGCCTTCAATAGAGTAATTTATTTAAAAATTGTTTTTCAAAAATTTTTTGTTAGTATAAAAAAGTTTGTATAGTAACAATAAATAATCATTTATATATTATATATTTTATATATATTATAGATATTGATATAATATTATATTTTAAGAAATTAATTATTATATTTTAATTATGCTTACATTTGTTTAAATTTAATTTATTTAAACTAGCTGTTATTAAGTTTAAAAGAGCAATATAATTATTAGTTAGAATTAAATTTGTGAATGAAACATAAGTTCTTTATGTAAAATATTACAACGTAAGATATATTGTATGGCTCAATAAATTATTCATAGATGCACAACCTCAATTACCCTTATCGACTTACTATTAAATTCTTCATACTTTGCGCTAAAATACAGATGTCTCTCGTTGACCTAACATTGACAAGTGTGGCATATTTTAAACTGTTATTAAATTTTACATCTCCCGCTATGTGTATTATTATAGTTACTCTATCAACGAGCATTTGTTTGTCCATAGCTGATAAACCTAATTCTTTCTCATTGGCATCGCCAGAAATTGGAACTAATTTCTTGAAATTTGAAGGTCGCTCTTCACGCAATTTTTCAAATAACTAAAATAGAAAAAACAGTTATATAAGTGAAATCGAGATATGTAAATACACTAATAGTAACAATAAGATAAGCCTATTCGATCAAGACGGATCTTGGTGTCTATAATATTTTTGAGTGAGTTTATACAAGGTGGGCATACGTAAATAAAACGCATACCAACTTGCCTCTTGTGCCAATAAGCCCCAGTCTCCCCTACAGAATATTTTGCGAAAAATGTTACCCTAGGCTAGGATTCAAACCTATAGACCTACATTCCGTGACAGTCGTTTTTCCAATTTGACACTGAGGATTGTAATGATATTTTCCGCAATAGTCAGTAAATGATAGGAGAGACCGTCTTTAGTAATTAAAGATTAGAACCACTCTCCGATCTTGACATATGTTGTCAGAGTCACTGTTCCGAGTAATCTTTAGAAGTTTTTAGTTGGCACTTATTGTTTATTAAAAAGTTATTAACAAAAAAATATAATGGTTTCACATAAGTTTTCGACTTTCCACACGAAGTAAGATCCACTTCACATCCATCATCCCTTCTCCTTCCTGCTTACAAATAGTTTATTAATTTGCCATTAAAGCAAGAAACTGATAAAATTTTGTAAAATTTTATTTTCGCTAACTCAATTTATTCATATGACAATCTATCTTGTACTGCTCCTCCATTAAATGATTTATATATAAAAAAAGATAAATACTTATTTTCAACAAATAATGTAATACGAAAACGTATAAGCTGTAGAATATATATTATATAGTCTATATAAGAATAGGATGTTAGAAAATTATAAAGTATTCATATACTTTTTGTTAATAACATCCTAGCAAACAAAAATAAGTTGAAATAGAAATGAATTTATTTTGACATTTCCAAATTGACTTTTCGAATCTATTTAAATCCAAAAATAATATAATACAGACGTTAATACATCAGAATTTAACATGATAAAAAGCTCATTTTGTATTATAATTTATTTAAATTAAAAAATAATATAAGACAGACATGAATACATCCGAATTTAACATAATGAATATTTCTCTCTCTCTCTCTCTCTCTCTCT